AATAATTAATGCAATAAGGAAAAATTATTTTTCTTAATATCATCTCATAAATGTTCAGCACCATGGAAGTATATAAAAGTATTAATTTACAAAGTCTAATTTTTGATTTCAAACACTGCTGATAGAAAAGGTAGTTCCCTTTCATTAGATGCTGTCTGTCTTAAAGAGCTGATTTGACTATCCCTATGTAGTCATTTGAGACATTTCTTTTTCATATTGCTCTTTCCTAGTATAAGACCCGAGGAGAGGTTGAATATTCTGATAATAATCATTTGGCTGCTCTCAATATTTTAAAAGAACAAAATTATGGCATAGCCAAATGAGTTCCAGAAGGCAATAAATGTGCTGGCTTTATATCACCAGTAAACACTCACATAGTTGCGGAGAAAAGTAGTTTTTAAAAAGAAGGCAGAATGGACAAGGCAAATACCAGACCCTGGACCTCAGGAGAGCATCCTGCAGCCTTTTCAGGGGTCTGCAAGAACTCCATGGAGATGATCCTGGAAAAAAAGAGGAGTCCAGAAGAACTAGGGATGTTCTAGAGGATCACTATCATCTCCTTTAATTCATGAACTGTCCAGCCTAACATGGTAAAACTCAAAGGTAGAAAGGTAGTGATTGGCTAAAGGTTTGACTCAGTCTTGGAGGTCTTTTCTACTCTTTATGATTCTGTGAAACATAAAGGAGCTGTAAGCAGAATCAGTTGACCCAGTGTAGGGATTGGATAAGGAATATAGATACAGTGTCTGAGCATGAGGGGAGAGAGTTAGGAAGGTAAAAGCCTACCAGGAGCTGAGCCTAGCAAGGGGCTTAAATAGGGCATTAAGGAGGTTTCTATATTAGCAGCCAAAAGAAGATTAGGGAAAATATGGGTCTTCTGCTGAATGGGACGTGGAAAAGGCTGAGTTACTTAATGCTTCCATTGCTTTGGTCTTTACTGGTAAAATCTGCATACAATACTTGAAGGCCTCTGCAACCAGAGAGGAAACCTGTAGCCATCAACATTTATCTTTAATGGAAGAATATCAGGTCAGGGGGACATTTAAACCAATTGGATATACAAAAGTCCAAGGAACCTGATGAAATACACCTACAAGTGCTGAAGGAAGGATAATGGCAATGTGAGACCTCTCTCATTATCTTCAAAAAATCGTAGTGACTGGGGGAAGTTCCTGAGGACTGGAAGAAAGCAAACGTCACATCTATCTTCAAGAGGGGGGATTCAAAGGACTGTAGGCCAGTCAGCTTCATTTCAGTCCTTGAGAAGGTGAGGGAGAAAAAAGCCCTGGAAGCCATTTGCAAACATCTGAAGGACAAGAAGGTGATTGGGAGTTGTCAGTGTGGATTTATGAAAGGGAAATCATGCTTGACAAACCCGGTAGTCTTCAATGAGAAAAATGAGGTTCATCGTGGTGAACAAGGGGAGAGCAGTCACTGGTTTTTACCTTGAATTTAGCAAGGTATTTGTGTCAAAATGAGTGAAGAGAGGTGGAGTCAAAACTGACTGAACTGCCAGGCTTCAAGCATTTGATCAGCAACGTGAAGTCCAGCTGTCAGTCTGTCAATAGTGGTATACCCTAAGGATCAATACTGAGACCAGTACTGTTTAACATCATTAATGACTTGGATAATGGGACAGAGTACACTTTCAGCAAGTTTGGAGATGATAGAAAAGTGCAAAGAGTCTTGGATACACCAGTTGTTCGTACTGCCCTTCAGAGTAACCTTGACAGGTGGGAGGAGTGAGTCGGCAGGGATTTCATGAAGAGTGACAAAAGGAAATGCAAAGTGCTGTACCACAGGAGGAGTAACCCTATGCACCAGTGCAGGCTGGAGGCTGGCCTGCTGGAAGGCTGTGTTCTAACAAAGGATCTTGGAGTCCTGCTAGACACAAAGTTGAGCACGAGCCCACTATGTGTGCTCTTGCAGCAAAGTCAACAGCCTCTTGGACTGCATTGGAAAGAGCGTTGCCAGCAGGTCAAGGGAGGTGATTCCTTCTCTCCACTCGACACTGGTGAGACACATCTGGAGTCCAGTCCTGGGCTCCCTGGGACAAGTGAGACATGGACATACTGGAGCAAGTCCAGCCAATGGCCACAATGATAGTTAAGGGCCTGGAGCATTTGGTATATAAGGAAAGGCTAAGAGAGATGGGAGTGTTCAGTCAGGAGAAAAGAAGGCTCAGGTGGGATCTCATCAGTGTATATAAACATCTGATAGGAAGGAGTAAAGAGGACAGAGCAGGCTTTTCCCAATGATACCCAGGAAAGAAGCACAAACTGAAATACAGGAAATTCCATTTAAACATAAGAAAAAAACACTTTTTACTACAAGGATAGTCAAACACTGGAAAAGGTTACTTCCTGAATTTGTGGAGTCTCCATTTGTGGAGATATTCAGAACCCAACTGGACATGGTTCTGAGTATACTGCTCTAGTTGACTCTGCTCTGAGCTTGTACTTGGAGTAGATAATCTCCAGATGTGCTCTCAAACCACAGGATTTCTGTGAAAACTTTAGGTTGGGCCACGGTCATCCAGCTCCATCCAAGATGGCTCCCAGGTTTAGGTTATTCTTCCTTCAGGTCATTTTCACAAACAAACCTTTCTCCATCGGTAAAGGAAAGAAATAGTAGCCCTGATTATGATGGGGTCTTTTTTTCTCAGTCTTTGTTCAACAAGACAGTTGAAAGGGGAAGAGCAATTCTTAGAGGAGGTTTATGCCTTTGATGCAAGAGGGAGTGCCAGCTTTACATGGGAAGGGATATCAAGGTAAGTTGCACATAGTGTCACCCAAAAAATCAGTTGCAGAGATGGAATTAGAAATGGGTTTGTTGACTACCAGAAGAGAATAGTTAACCATTCAGCCATCCTTCCTTGGGATAAAAACAATGAAAAAAGAGGACAATCTAAGTGCAGGATCTTCTGTCTGAAAGATTTACTTGATACCTAATGGACTTAGCCTTCAGAACTAGCTCCACTTAGATATTGATGATGCCAAGAGCTCAACAGGATTCAAAATATGGGTGTGGAAAATATTTGTATCCATTGTAGTAAATGTTGTAACCATTCCTTTGAGGGATATGCACTTTCCACATGTCAGAGCTTAAGTCAGTTCATAACAAATACAGGCACATATTTTTCCAGCAGACACACCAGCACTTAACTATCATTTAAGGTAATTTTCACAGAGTGGGAGACTATTGTCAAGGTCAGAACAGCACAATGAGACTCACAATTGGTCAGCTGTATGTGTCACTGCTTACCTGGCACCAAATGATGTGAAAGCACTAAGTAAAAGTCACTGCAGGAGATATGTAACAGTTTTTAGTCATTCTAAACTAGGTAAAGTAGTGCCTAATCTAATGTCTTATAAATATAAGCAAGTATAAATGAAACAGAGAACTGACAGAGAGATGCATTTTGTTTTGTCTTTGCATCTTTGGGTTTGCTGAAGTGCTTAATGACAGCTATGCGATGGCTGCTATACATTCCTCTCACAGTGGTACAATTTAGTAAACAGACAGGGTGAGTGGGGTTTTTTGAGCTCTACTGCAGTAGGAAATGAATCACATTCTAAGAGTAACCTGCTCTAAGTGACCCTGCCTCATCAGGGAAGCTGGACTAGATGATCTCCAGAGGTCCCTTCCAACCCAAACTATTCTGTGATCCTGTGTAAATGAAGTGCAAAGATGCTTGTTCCTATTGTTGTTCTTTGATGGGGTGGCACAACCGTTCCTTTGATGCTACCAGGAAGCTCTACCAACTTGTTCTCAACATAAACCAGGAAATTTTCTCAAGATACTCATGTTGGTTGTTGGACTTGGTGAGCAGAGCCAAGGTTTTAAAACATGGACACCCCATAAACTGGGCTCATGCTTCTAACTCACCTATTTCAGAGAGAAATAAGAGAAACAACTGTATGTGTCCTTCTGCATATCTAACCCTTCTTCCCCATTTGAACACATGGCCTTTGTATTGCAGGTTTATGCTGTATTTATCCCATGGACATGTACAGTTCCCGGTATTCCTACATTCTTTACCAAAAGAAACCATCTTTGCCTGAGGAAATCAGTACTCTGTATTTTTTCTTTGCTTCTTTTTTAATAATGCTTTTAAATATAAGCATGGGTTTTAATAGTTTCTTTTGTTCTATAATTCCAGAGAAAGAATGATCTCTATAGTCTTTCTTCCAATGTTTCCTTCGAAGTTAAGAGCATGCCATATAAAGTACAGCCAGCAAAGCTCCCCACGGGAAGCATAGCAGTAAGTAACTGAAAATTGTATCTTTGTGTGAAGTACATGTATTTGGTCATTCTGATCACAGCTGTGAAAGTTTTTGTAGACGAAAATATTGAGATTGGTCTTTCTTTTAGATGAAAATATTGAGATTGGTCTTTCCTGTGTTTCTAGTGTAAATTCCTGAAATAATACCTAAAGGAAATATCTTTATTGCTTCCTGTGGAAGGGGGTGATATATGATACTGATTACACTTTTAAATAATTTCTTGCTGCACTATTGTGTAGACTTCTGTATTGCATTCAGGATGGATTTTTCACCCAGAGGAACACAACAGAACTGTGAAAGCAAGTGTCTAGTTACTTTGTTTGGGGAGAAATAAGCCTGGAGGAAATTTTTGTGCAAAAGCCAAAATCAAGTTTCTGTCAGGTTTAGAGATCTCACTCTTTGCCCAGTCAGCAGTTCTCTCACACAAGCGTATGGATTACCTATAGCAACTTCTCTCTTATCTGTATTAAGATTCTTTGATACCCTGATTTTTGGAAAGGTTTGCATCCCTCTCTAGGGTTTCCACCTCACAGCACATGCAAGATATGAATTTACCTGGTCATCCCAACTGATGGGATAGATAGATGCTAAGTACTTGCCTTATTTGCAGACCAAGATTTGCATGGTCCTCGATTACTATATGAAAAAGTAACCTCGGAGGCATAAGTTTGATTTAATTGTTTTCTTGTGACAAAGCATTGACTTTTGGGAGCACTTTAAAGGAATTTGCTTCTTATGGTATCTAATACCATGGTTAAAATTCACTCTGTTTTGTCATTACTGATAGAAATAAGTAAAATAGGAGTGCAAAAATTGGATCTAGTATGAATAATCTGAAATTTTAAGGCCCATTGTTCTTATATTTTTGAAGATTTATCAGTTACGTCCTTCTTTTTTGAAGCTCCTTTCAAACTTTTCCGAGTTAATTCATGGTGAAAATGCATCATACTGGTCTGATGAGAAGTAGTAGTAGGGACAAAATATTTTCTTATATGGAAAACCAACAGAACAAAACAATTCATAGCTTACTTTGAGTCTATTTTAGAGGATACAAGGTATAAAGCTGTGTTTTAAATATGCACAGATTACATGGTTGATACGTGCTCTGGGAAGACCCAAGGTAAAATCTTGGTCCTGTGTGCACAGTGACTCCAACCTCCATCACCAGGAGAACCATGATTTCACCACAGAGATTTGGTGCTTAATAAAGTATTCATCCAGAAAGGTTCAAAGACTCCAAGCTGACAGATGTACTCAGGCTCTTTTTATTTTCTTGCAGCATGTGTTCCATACCAGAAACACATGTTGTGCAGAATTCTGTTGGTAGTGGTGCCTTCATCTGGACTGAAGTGCTTTATCCCAGGTGATAGCCTGCTGTTCGCAACAAGTGTCAGATGATCTACCAAATGATCAGATAAGCATTTTATTCTCTTACTCCAGCCAGTATAATGCTTGTTATTTGCTGCAGATGATTTACAGCAAAATGCCTGTAATGGCAACTGTAAAATGTTGAAAAATGATAGTGCTTTTATGTCTCATATCTGGACATGGCAGTGGATACTTGCCAGCTCTACAGCTTGATGTGTTATATGCACCAGTTCTTTGATGTTCCACTTGCAAGAAGAAATATTTGCTTGAAGTTGGGCAAAGCTTAATATTTTTGCTCCTTCTGAAAAAGAACACTAGTTGTGTCTTTAAAGTTTCCAAAGTTTTGTTTGGAAGCTTATGGTTTTCTTTTAGACAGTGAAAGAATGGAAGAGAAATAAAGATTTTAATATTTTAAAATTAATTGTCAAAAGTATATATCTAATAATCAGCTAACACTTTAAGGTTTATATAGAGAAGATAATATATTTAAAAGACCAGAGCATGTGTCCTTCATTTAACTCATACAGTGCCGTGTTCCAATTATGCAAGTTGATATTTATGTTTAGTTTTAATGGCATGAATAATCCCATGCACAGTAATCTACAGTCATGTAGCCATATTTGCAGCACTGAGGTCTTTATTTCCATCATCATGGAATGTAGGTCTTTACCTTGAACTGAGAGAGGGCCATGACACAAAGGTGTGTGAAAGGTTATGTCAATGTAAAAAAATCTTTATCTTTTATAGTAAAACATTGGAGTGAAAATGCATCAAATGGAAAATTAGCATGAAATTTAGTGGAGCTTAAACCAGAAACCACACCCATCAATAATAGTATTTCTATTGATTTTTATAAGCTGGGAATTGCAGCTGTATATTATACAACTGAATGGATTTGCTTGCTAACAGCTGGATCATTCAAGAGAAAATTGTCAATTTTTCTTAGAAGTATTACTATGGTAAATGATACTATCTTACTTGATGAATTTCATGTGAAACTTGAAAGTACTTTTTATTACAAGAAGTACAGAGTTACAATAAGCACAATTTGTTCTATTTTATTTTATGATTCTTGAGCCAGTTTGGGAGTTTAATAAAATATAATTGCTTTTCTTAAATGTTTGATAGGATCTTCAGGGGGGATGCTTTTAATGTAAACTGTTTGACCAGTTTCCTACAGTGAGTAAAACTGGTTTCAGACTAAGCCTTATATCTCTTTTTTTTATTTATTACATGGTGATAGTACTTTCATTTTAAATGTGCTTATATTCCTTATGAAATATATTTGCATAAACATTTGTAAAGTGTAAACATAAACGTCAATATTAATTGTGACTCCAAGCTCAAGGGAGCTTTTACGTTCTATTTTGATAGTTTTTTCAGAGCATATAAGAACCTCGTGCTGCAAAGGCTGGATTGGGTCGTGTAGGAGTACAAAGGAATTCCTGTTTCTCAGCCTCTGTAAACAAAATTGCTGAAGGCTAGAGGAAGGTCATCATGTGCAGTAAAAGTAGTAGCAATAGAATAATAATCAATTTAGCTACTGTTTCTTAAAGTAGCAGAATAAAATATGGAGAAGTTATTTTTATATTTTAACATGTGTCTTTTAAAGGACCAGAGAAAGAAAAATAGCTTTGTGAGAATCCCACTAGCTTGCACTGAATTCTGACTATAGATGCTGGATGTTTACACCAGGGAAACCTAATTCCCATCTTTCCACAAGGGACTGCCAGTGAACCAGCAGCTTACCACGTGTGTTCTTCTCTGCCTTGTGCTGCCTTCCAAAGGAATCAAAGACAATTTTGAGGACACATTGAGTAGCACCAAAACCAGGAGCAGAATTCAAAATGTGCAAAAACCAGTGGCAAAAATCTTCATAGTTCTTTTATCTACTTACAATGTGCTTAACCATGGCATATTTTAAAAAAAGAAAATAAAAGCCCTTATAGAAACATGATCAGCAAGTGACTTTCCTGGAACCACAACAGGGATTCTGAAGTTAAGACTATCAGAAAACATCTGTGTGTGGATTTTATTTCCAATTGCAAACAAAGGCTCTGTCCATAACTCTTGGGTTGGCTTCACCCTCACCTCGGTGCCTGAGCCAGATGGCATTCTTTGGCACCCTTTGCACACAAAAAGGTGTGAGACGTTCAGCAGTAGGGAAGGCCAAAAGTCAGATGGCCCCTCTGAAGTCTGTGAGCTGTGCTTTTCATCCTCCTGACAGAGAAGCAAGCACTGTTTTCAGTGTTCAGCATAAAAAAGTCTTGTCCTGAACAGAGAGCAAAGCCAACATGCATCTGAAGTATGGTGCCAATATGCAACACTTGTGTAAAAATTCCACTTCTTCACATTGACCACCTTAGATGAAAAAAGATAAATCTCCCCCAAAAAATTCCCTGGCTCTGATCCTGCAGTACTAAACCTACCACATGGAGAAGAACTTCAGAAATCCAAGCTGAATAATGCAGACTTGTCTCTAATCAAAATCATGTGTAATACTGTTGTGGACAGCACAGGGGGGGAGGAGGGACAGTCTTCTGTGGACATGGTGAAACACAGCAGGCAAAATTGAAGGGTTGCTTTGTTTTTTTCTTCCCCTCCAGCTTCTGCCTCAGCTCTGTGGGTGTTCAGGACTTGTCCTGTCAAACTGTTCACCAGCAATTGCATTAGTAGCCTTGCAAGTCTTTGTGTAGAGTATGAAGGGGGCAGCCCAGGGCTGCATATTCTACTGGTATATAGGCAGGAGTGAGACTGACGTCTACAAATAATCCCCTGCTCAGGAAATAAATCTCGAGCACTTAGCACAACCCTTCCTTGCTTTCAAAACCTAAGACAAAGAAGGATTCATGGAAAAAGGGTATGGGTGCGACAGGATGGTTTCAAGATTTTAGCAGGCAAATATTTCATTAGCATTGGCCTCACTCGGGCTAAAGAAGAGAGAGATGTGGCAGCTTTGCAGCAGCATCCTGCTTGATACAAGATAGACCTAATTTCTGCTGCCTGTTTGGTTCATTGCTGATCATATAAGGATTATAAACATGATGGCCTGCACTTCTATAAGATTACAGTTTCTCGTTTATGTTTCAACATTTGTCAGGCTCCAGCTGAGCTACTGAAATTACACGGCAAATTTCACTCGACTGTCTGCAAAGGCAGAGCACCAGAAGGGAGGAGGGAGGAAGGATTCAGAACCCAGGCAGTACAAGCAAGGCTGAGTGTTGCTGCAACACTCATAATTGGTTAGCAGCCTCAGGAAGATCCACATGTTCTTATCTGGATCCATGCTGATGGGTGCTCTGTAGGTATCACAAGAAGAACTTCCCTTATTGTTTTCATAGCCTAAGAGGAAAGAGAACAACACACAAATACAGCACACATCTAGGATGTGGCACATAAAAGAAGACATGGAATGGCAACAGATACTTGTAGCTGCATGCACTGCTATCAGCTTTTTCCAAAATCTAATGAAATCCACTGACCTTGGTGAAATAAATGGTTTCCATTGATTTCATCAGGTTCTCAGTCAGGCTTTGAAGTCTGAATTGACTCCACCTAATTTTGAACAGTGAACTGGTGGACATGAGTCTAGTTTCTGTGCTATTAGTAAGTAGTCCTATGAAATATTCAAACACCAGGCAGCAGTTTACTTCAGTCCTATCTGAGAGCATCTGTGGACCTGAAGTTGTTGCCCTAGACTGAATGAAAGTAGACTTGGTGCCCAAGAAGACAGATGTGATTCAGTCAAATATTATCTGAAGAAATCTGTAAACAAAAACCCCTTCCATGAAGTACTTGCCCATTCTGATAATTTCCACATTCAGGATGAACAATTTCAGTAGACTTTGGTTCAAGCTATCAGTACCACAAATGATGAAATAAAATCTTTGCATGCAAATGGGTCTTTTCCTCAGGTTTGATGTTGCTGTAAAATGGAGTAATTTTGTCAAACTTGGGAGGACAGAAAGTACTGCTGGAGTTCGCTTTTTGCTGTTGTTTTACAAATATTTGTTAAGATGGTTTTGTTAAGTAATCTATCACTTTACCACTCCAGCTTCACAACAGTGTTAATATATGTAATGGATGTCAACAGTGTCAGGTCCTTTCCAAACAATAACTAAAATTTGAATCTTCCTCCATTTGGTACCTCAGTTTGCCAACAGAGGAAGTGCACAGCACGGATGAGTTGGGGTTTTTTAATCAATCTGTTTTTGCTGTCTTGGAGCCCATAAATTTTCATCAGCACTTCCCAGCTCTTGTGCTGTATGTGGTCAGGTCTTCAATGCTTCAGGGCAGCATTCATGAGGATTTTCAAGCAGCAGAAGGGAGATGCTTTCTTCCTTGTGTAGCTGAGCTCATTGCTTTCTACAGGCTTCCTGAAGCCCATCATAACTGCATCCCTTCTGTTTTCCCTGGCCAGTTAACCTCTTACTTGCATTCATCTTTTCCTTAACTGGCTTTTCTCTGTGAGGAATCTCTGCAGACAGTTCAGATGACCTTTTTCTCATTTTCTCTGCCCTTGTATTTAAATGCCACTCTGAGCCACAAGCGAAGCTATTCAAAAACATTTTGTCCTTAATAAATGAGAACTGCTCTTGCTGAATCTAATGATACAGAGAGCCTGTGAAGTTCTGAAGTGGTTAAGAAGTGACCCAAAGAGTAGGCTGGGGAAGGGAATTTTATTCTTACGGTGGCATAGTTAATCCCACCATCAGGGTATCTGTTGGGACACAGGGGTGGGATTTCATGGGTTGAAATAATTTTTTCTTGGTTTAATTAGCTAACATTTATTCTTTGTATATGCTATCCTTTTGAAATATTTTAGACTAATAAGTATTTACACCTGCTCCAGAGACACATATTAGCTGCATGTGTTTGTTACATCAATGATGGTATGGCCAGCACTGCAAGCACTTCATCCTCAGGGTGCAGGCCAATGCTAAAGTGCTGATAGCAGAAGGACTTGGCAGTGTCTTGGAATTTTCTGTGTAACTCTCAGGGTAAGCTTTGGTAGAAGGCAAGTGGTATCTACAGATAAAACTGTCCCTAATTTCTGTTCCCCTAACAATGAGGAATACTATAAAAAACATGTACATCAGTAAAGTTCACCAGACTGCCATCTTAGCAAGCACTGTGTCAGAGGATGAAGTTGTTGGCTACAGAGTGGAAAGGACTGTTCCAAAGTGTCTTCCAATTAAGTGTGACAGTAGCTGGGAGACATATCCACTGGTGCTTGCAGAATGAAAAAGTCTAGGAAAAGAAAAAGGGAGAGAGGAAAGGGCTGGATGTTGCTGAAAAGCTGAAATTTGCCATCTACAAGGAGAGGAGTAAGAGGAACAGGAACGAAACCAGTTTTTGAGCTCAATTAGAGAGTTGTGTCCAGTCTTCAAACTTAGGCTGCTGTTCCACAAATGAACAAATTAGAAAACAGTGTTGTGTTAAATTTTGGGTGCATCAACCAGTAAGTTAATAGAAAAAAAAAAAAAAAGTTATAAAGAGTATTTGCAATGAGTGCAGCTCAGGGACTGGGCAATAGCCAAGAAATTTATTAAGATGAGTAGATTTCCTAGCTGTACCTTGAGCACTGAAGAGAAAGAACATTTGAGAGTTTGTGTAATCAGTTGCTTTGCAAACTGATTTCATCATGTCATAAAGAAAATAACTTCCATCTGTGACTTACTTACCCTCTTTAAAGGGTACTAGGAGTAGATGAGAGAAGTCCAACAGAAAACCTGAGAGAGAAATAACTTCCTAAGCTAACAACAAAGAGGAAAATTTGAGGAAATAAACTAAGATTGAAAGGACGTATTTGTGACCAAAGAGCTAAGGAAAGCTCAAACTCATTCCTTCCCACTTGGGAGAAGTAGGGACAGAGCAAACATTCAATAAGATTGACAAGGAGCCTTCCAAGCAGAGTCTGAGAGCATAATATAAATTTGGTAAAAGGTATGGAAGGGAGAGTGAGGAGGAGAGCATGGATGGCCCCAGAAGAGAAATACAGGAGGGTTATTATTACTCTCTGTCCACATGAAGGTCTAAAGAGAGAATTTTTCCAAGTTAGTAAAAACCTTTGATAACGCATGTTAACACCTGCTGCTTTCTAGAACCTTCTACAAGGACAGTGCATTTCATGCTTATTTCCCACTTAGGTAACAGTCTGTGTGCTTGGCCTCTTTTAAGGAACACCAAATCATACTGTGCATTAGGCTTTATCACAAGGACAATAAACTGCTGCTTGAGTTTCACTTTTGGACTGCTTAGCTGAAATGCAAATCATCAGAAAATATGTATAGTTGTATGTCAGCAGAAATTAAAATAAGAAAAATGTAACTGGTATCTACTGTGGTTTGAATTAAGAGTTTGGGCTGAAGTCAACCATTGTTTCAGAGTAGTTCAGTGTAATTCAGTTATACTGGCCTGGGCTGTGCCAGCATGGATGTGAGTAGAACTTTGCTCCTTGAATATTCTTGAAGCATCTGCTCAGAAGGGTTTTTTTTGCTACTCTGTATTAAGGGAAAATGGTTTGTTTGTCTGATATGACATGAATTTTGTGTATGTGTGAATTCCATTTCTAAAAGTTATCATGACCAAGTGGAAAGGGACTTACAGTAAATGAAGCCAACATGGAAGAATTTCAGGGAACATGTACTTCTAATCTGCAAAATGCTTTTGAAGTGAATGCTTCTAACCTCTGTATTCTACTGTCAGATTTGCTTTCCTTGCTTCACTTTTATTCATTTAATGTATTCTTTTCATTTCAGATCAGAACATCTGTCATTTGGTCCACCCCAAATGTCTCCTTTGAAATCCCTTTATGGGTTATAATACTAGCCATACTTCTTGGACTACTAGTACTAGCTCTGCTGACCCTAGCTTTATGGAAGGTATGTTGTATTATTACTGTTACTGTTGCCTTGAAAAACCCTGAAAGACACTGGAAGATACCAGACGAGAAGAAAAAGAAAGGCTGGAATTTTGTGATCTTTAGCAGTTTGGAGCAAAAGCAACAATACACGTGGTTTTTTTTGTTTTGGCATTTCTGACATGCTAGTGTCACTGACCTTTTTGCAGGGAACTTGTTTTCAAAGTCTTCCTTTATTATTAAAGTCTGGTTATAAATGGGCATACAGAGTTTGGCTCTGTTTCCCAAGACCTATGATCCTCTTTTTCAGGATGTTTAGGTTCAAAAAGAAGTTACTTTTCCCTGAATAATTCAGGAATTTCCAGTTTTTGTCAGCATGGAACAACATTCCGAGGTCTGAGAATTAATTTTTAGAAGATTTCCTTTTATATTAGTATATCATGTCTTCTGTTTCCAAAGTTTTCTATTTCTGTGTTAGTTGTTACACTCCCTTCACAAGTTTTAAGACAAGTTACTGGAAACCGGTATGTTACAGGGAGCCAGTGTAGCTTTTGGCCATCTTCTCGGTTCACACTAAAAATAAGTTTGAGATAATTCCTTAAGTTAGAATATGTCTTTAGCAGCCTAAAGGTTATGGTTAGGTGTGCAGTCTATGCTAACTTCCCAAATTCACTCAGTCAGGTAACAACAGCAGCAAAAAGCTTTGTCTAAAACATGCGAGGATGAGAGGAATTTTGGTGGTACCTTCCTTTGACCTCATGTGAACATTCAACCTGGCGACTAAAAGGGTAACTTTTTGGCAGTTAAAGTTAGGTGAGAGGATCTCATCTTCAGTGATCTCTAGTCTAGCTTACAACACCGTCCTGTGCACATTTCCCAACACACATTCCAGCTCTGTTATTGTTACTGCTTGTCAATCTAAATACCTTTTCTGAATGAGCATTTTGCTGAACTGAAATCTGCAGTTTTCTCATTAGCATCAGTCCGTATCAGCATTCAGACCAACTTTACACCTCCTGCAAAGACATGTTTCGTATAATTTGAATTTTAAAGCTATATTTTGGAAGTCAATGCCTTGTACACAGAACTAATTTTTCCTAGGCAACGATTTGAACAGAAATGCAATATCTTCACAGTCTATTTCCTGCCATAGGTTGTGTCTGACCTCTCAGGTTGACTGAGTGAGGAATCAAACTGCAGCTGAGTTTTTCTGTGGTTGTCTTACCATGACACCTTTGTTTCTGTTGATTGTTTTCTGCAGTGCGGCTTCTTTGACAGAGCTAGACCTCCTCAAGATGACATGGCTGACAGGCAACAGCTGACAAATAACAAGACTACTGATGCATAAAGGAAGAGAGTGACAGTTCAAGTCAGAATCCTGCCTGAGACTAGAAACACAATGAGGATTAAATGAAGGATTCCTTCCACCAGCCTTCCTTTGTGCCTACAAGCGACACGGTGCCATAGTCTGATCTATGCAATGTTCTGATAACATGCCACATGACGGCCATCCTTGCCAAAGAAAGCAGCTTTATCACTGCCTTACAAAGATATTCACCACTGAACAGAATGTTTATCCCGTATTTCCAGCCAGATGCCTTTGAACACGTGTGGTATACTGAGATGGTTCCAGAACAAGCCCCGATCTCTCAAAGAGAGAAAACCTTCATTGCTGTTTTGTCTAGAAGATGGACCAGGACAAACCTTCTAAATGCTACTGTATCATACAGAATACCTTTGAACCTCCCTAAGGATAAGAACTTGTATGAAATTATTGCTCAGGGAGACACGCAGTGTATCAGTACTGTGACAGTACTTCTGAAAAACAAAGGTAGTCTATAAAGAACTTTATAGATGGGATACAATTATTTATTTTTCCACCTTTTTAGAATAAGTATCTGTTATAATAATCAACATAGATTTTGAGAGAAGAAAGTAAAAAAAAATAGAAATCGTGTCCTTACTTTGCATGTAAATAGAAAAGTAAACCCACTGTACACACAGAACACAACTTTCTTGGCTACAAGGTGTTTTGCAAAGCAGATGATTTATGCAACACTTTATGAGATGAGACATATGACAAACAAGTACATGTTGTATCTCTTTCAGCCCAGAGCTGGCAGTATCCCACCCGGATAACTAAATCCATGCACAGCGTAGAGCAGGGAATGAGTTACCCTGTTCTTGTCTTGCTGTACAGCCGACACAGGATACAGTCATTTCTGAAACACAGTTTTAAGTTATCACAGCCACACGGGTGATATTGCAAAGTCTTAGGGGGTTGGGGCTGGGGTAAATTTTCTTTTCCATTGCTCTGTTACTTTGTTGAAATTGCCTCTTAAAATGGCTACTCACAATCTTGAAATCTTTGCCTTTTTTTTTTTATTTTACAGTCTACAAGCTGACAGCATCTCTAAAGTGTTGACTTCAGCAAAGTTTAGGGCTGATTACAATTATTTCTTAAGCAAAGTCTTGCAGGTAAGGTGGGCAGAATTTGTATTTATGCAGAAAAATAGGATGCCAGCCAACCAAGCATGAATATAAAGAAGGAAAGATATTTTGAGGTAAAGAGTAAAAAAATACACTTAGGATTGATTATTTTTTTCCAGGTTAAGAGTTCTGAAGAAGAGATGTTTCATTATTTCTGTTCTATCAGCAAATGGTCATTATCTCAATAGGAGCTTTAAGCTCTGATCTGTGCAAATTTGTACATGAAAGCTTGAGTCTTCCAGTGCTGCCTGAGAGTGTGAGATTAGCTACATTGTGTAAACTTCAGGAGGAATTGTTTATTTTCTGAAATCTACACCACACTTGCTTTCTCCTGAGCTCCTCTTCTTTCCAGCCCATCTCAGCTTCTCAGTTGGCAAATGGCCTCATCCATTCTGTCACTTTTAGAAAACTGCCTTTCTGCTTCCTAGTACTTCAGGACAGGAGTAGCCATGAGACATTGTCAGTTCTGTCAGTCTGACACAAGATTTTACAGTTTTACCATTTCTTGCATGCACACTGACCTGTGCAATCCAAGCAGGAGCTGTGTTATATCTTCATATCCCAGGCAAATTTGCAAGAAGACCTTAATAGAGTCTTTAGCTTCTCAAATGCAGTGTACCCAGGAGATTAAATGAGAGGAGGAAACATATGCGTCTGAAAATGGAGGTGAACCATCTGTGTGCTTCACACAAGCAAGAACCTCCATTTTCTAAGGATGGGGAGGCCTGACCACTTCCCAGTCGTCCAGAAAACCATTAACAGACTCCTTCCCCCAAATGGGTTTGAGCTGACCCCTTGTAGGTTAGAGAGATCAGCTGACAAACATCACCACAAAGCAAGACTATCCCATATTTGCACACCCCTGTATCCAGTACATTCCAGGCAAAATCGTCCTGCCGTGAAAGACAGTGAGCTTCTAGCTTTTGTAAATATTTAATTGTTGTGTGTAGCAGCTTCTGAAATAAGATTAGCTAGCTCATTGCAGTCACATCATCTGCACAAGTCTTACTCTGATGAGACAGCACTATAAGGACATAACTAACATAGGACTTTTGTATGTGCAATACTTTATATTACTTATATACCTGAAGCATGTTTACACTGGCATTTGTGTTTGTTTTTTAAACTTTTGAATATAGTGATAATGATTACAATAAAGAAAAAAAATATTAGGAACGAAAATTTAAACAAACACAGCTCTGTTCAGTATTTGTTGCAATGTGTTTTCAATCCTACATTGCTCTGAGGATGGGACTAGGTGACCTAATAAGTTCTTTGCAGTTGTAACATCTATAGTTCACTTTTGAGCAATTACTCTCCATTTTAATGATGGGCAAAACATGTTCAGATACTAAATTTAAACAATAAAGAACCTCAGTGACTCTTGAGCCTGGCTGGGATCCATTGGCTGCAGCTGTGTAATGTCACTGGAAACCAAATTAGAGGCACATGATCTGACAAACAGTTACTTTGAGCAATACTTTGTTTTATATTTCTACATCCTTGTAGATTAAACTTCCCCCGTGGAAATGTCTGGAGCTGTGTGCTGTCAAGGACTGTAGTCTTTATTCCCTGTATTTGTGGATAGCTTTGGCTGCAAATTGCAAACAGCTTTGTGAAGATTTCTGGGTTTCAGTGCTTGCCAAGAGTGTTTGTTCCCTGGGGAGATTGCATCCTGGATGTGGACACTAGCAAGCAGTTGACATAATCTTTCCCCCCAGTATATTAGTAATGTGCTGCATGATAACCTCTGCCACATCCCTACATGACTGAACTTTTGTTTCAGTGACGTCAGCCTTGTAATGAGTTACTAAATTCAGCTTTCTGTACTAGTAATTCAGCCTTATGCTTCCCAGTGTATGTGGTGAGCTCCTGATGGTTGGGAACACAGCAGTAGTCCAGAGAGCAGGAAAAGCAGAAGGTTACTTTAAAGATTAAAGTCTTTTAAAAGTCCTCATTGCTATGACCACCACAGCAGTCTAGTAAACAGAGAGACATTCATCTTTTATTTCACATGCTTCTTGCTGAGTTTGAGAAAGGCTGTCCAGTTATTTTATCCATGCAACAGACTGTATTTAGTGTCAAGTGACATCTTCTGTTTCATGAAAACTTCAGAATTTACATAACAGGGATCAGTACATTTGAATATGTTTTCACTTACATATTTAACCTTTAAAGGTATTTAGCAAATACAGTTTTCATTTGTTGTCACCATTCTGTAACTCCTTTACAGTTTTTTCTCTCTGCCTTTTAGCTGTGAATTTCTCACTCATCAGCATGAAGGATCTTCTGGTAGGCATGGCGTACATTAACTAAAAAGCCTTTCGGAACCAACAAAACACCTAGGCATACACAGGGGAAAGAAAGCCCCAACCAGCCTTGGCCTATAGTATTCCACTACACTGCAGCAAGGTTGATTTTTTTTTTAATGAAATACCACCTGACACACTGCCTTTAGGAATTGTTTATGAGTGCGTGTTTTATTTATGATTGTTGGCAAAGATCCATATTAAAATGTAGTGTAATGGTAGTGCCTCTTGACAATAAAAAGTCTTGAATTCAGCTCGTGCAGGCACCATGATGTGACACAGCAGGAATGCTTTTAATATTGAAGGACTGTTCTTGTTTCGCCTGTGTGTTGTATTTGAGGAGCATTTAACTATTCAAGATGCTGCCCTACTGTACACAGTGATTTTTAGAAAAGAAGAATGGAAATAATTGTCCAACTCACTTTTCAGATGGTTTCATTTGTTTCCAACATGTTTCTCTACTTAACCAATGCACCACATTTCATTTAGTTGTGTATTGTTCTGTGTTTCAGTAAGGATTTGTAAAGTGGACTTCAGTAAAGTCTCACAGGAGACACGGGCTTAGATCTGGATTAATCTTTTTCCATTTTAGGCACAGAAGAGGCATCAGGAGATATCTCAGATGTCTGCTGAGACTTCTAAGAATGTTATAGCTTTGTTGTAACAACTACTCCTATGCCAACTACAAGAAAACCAGATTTTATTTTTAAGGATCCAACAGTCATCCCCTCCCATGTGCCCTGTATGAGAGAACAGGCAGACCATGGCTAAATGGCACAATTAAACCAGGGGCAGAATGAAACATTCAGTTTGACTTGGTGCACCAGGAAGAAACTTTCCTGTGGAGAAGGACAAAGACTAAATTTTTTCAGTGCCTAAAATTAGGAAATATTCGTTTTTCTTGAGGAGAACATGACACCAGAGAAGTTCTGCCCATCAAGCACCATGGGTACATAACACATGGCATAAACACAAGGTGTCTGGGCACAAGGGACTTGATATCAAGCAGTTAAGGAGGTTGCAGGATACCACATTAACTATAAATGACTTAGAGAGAAGGAGTAGGAGGCTCTAGAGGAGAAATCAGACTTTTAAGTACATAAATGTCATCACAGAGTAGATCAGGAGCAATAAGAAGGTTGATTACTAAGAGGGATGGCTTGGAAATAAGGCTCAGCTACAGGAGATGAGAAGTTTTGACCCCAGAAAATAATGAGAGTAAGGATCTACTGCAATGATTTTTTTTTTTTTCACAGTGGCCAAATGATTCATTGCTCATGCAAAATTTGAGGAAGACCATTTCCCTAGTAATTAGATAATGAAAAGAAAAAATATCTGCAGCTGTGACAGGACTATTGAGTTAACTGTGAATCTCTCTCATTCTTAAATGAAGGGCCATATTCATTGACTTGGAGAGAGGGAAGGAGGTGGTAAAGACATGACATTTGAATTTCTTCCAGCTTTTGGCTTCATTGCCGTTTCAGAATGACTTCAGTATTTGCTGAGGCTGTGTGACATCTTTCACTGCAGTAGTACAGACTGTGCTATCCAAAGGTAATAGAAAGACATTTCTTTCAAACCAGTAAAAACTAAATCTTTTGTGGAAACTTTCTGTCTATGCCTGGATTACCCAGCAGACCTGAGGAATAAAGTGTTGTTCAAGTGGGATTTTTTTATTTATCAAATTTTGTTACATACTCTAAGAAGTTACTCTATGCATGTAGAAAGCATCAGTCCTTATATAGTTTTAAGTAGTTGAATTGAAGTAACAGATGAAGGAGGCACAACTAAGTCAGCAGTGGAATTTAAAAGTTAATTGATGTAGTGAAGATGACAGTCCTATTTTTGCTGTAATGAGTGTTTTGCTTGATATTTTTGAAGTTTACTGTTTCTTTAATTCTACATTTAATATATTATGGTACTAAGGAAGCACTTAAACATTATAAACAGTGATATTTGTGTTTAATGTAACAAGATACTTGCTAACAGATCAGACAGGGCACTTACTCCCACGAGAAGAGAAAATGCTGACACCATAACAGTTTTCAGTCCTTTGGACATATTCCTTTTGCCTCAAAGATTTCTGGAGCATCTTGTTCAGCTCCACTGGGTGCAGCTTGTTTAATATTATTTGATCCATTGGCTCCTCTGCTATCAACGGGTTTGGATCACAGATAATCAATGCCATCTCCTCTGCATCTGCTTCTTGTTTAAAATGCTGAGGGTATCTCCCATCTCGTGAATATGTCTGCAACTTTTCAGTAATTCCCATGTGATCGGTGAGAATCTGTTCTACTGGATTTTGAGGGTAAGGCGTGTTTAGTCTCCACCCCACTTTTCTAATGCCCATATATACACAAAAAATCAGTCCTACGGTATCTATTACAGATTATTTCACTAAGCAACCAGCCAAGTCTTTGTTCTGTAATTTAGTAGAACAAAGTAAGCCTGAACTTGACCCTCCAGCCATTTTAAGCAAACAACATCTGTCTAAAGCCATTAGGTTTCCACTACATTGACTCACCGCAATGTCTTTAAGAGAAAATCTTCCTGCATAATATATTGTGGACTTCTCAGTGTCATCACTACAGGTGGCGTGTTGTGTCAAGCATATACTGATCTTGGGTAGATCATGATGAGCTGATTTTTTTGTCGCAAAAATGCTTTATCTGGAAAGTGGGAATGAATGCAGGAAAAAAATGTGAGCTGGCTTTTGCAAGGTTGCTCAGAAAGAGATGGTGAGCTTTTAATACCATCCCCTCAATAAGCCCCTCAAAGGGACCTCCAGGGCGGGTTTACAGGAGAAGGGGAGGTCTTGTTTTGTCTTCCTACCTTGCTCCCTCCTGCAGGCTGCTGGCTTGTCTACCTTCCAGCTGCCTCACAGATCCTCCTTGTGCTTCCAGGTGTACATCCCCACCATCCTCCCCACACCACAGTGGCAGCAGCTCCCCAGCTCTCTCTCTCTCTCTCCCCACTTCTGACTTCACCAGCTGATTTTTGGCACTGTGATGGGCACCACAGGTCTCCCAAAGACTAGTCTCACCCTATGGCTACTCCCTCCCTCCTCTCCAGGGAGGTTTAGGCTGAGCTCTGTCTGATCAGAAAGGATACAGCAACCATGTGCTTCTCACAGGGCTGTGGAATGGATAAGTGAGGAGCAGCTTCTGATTGCCATTTCATCACAGGTACCCAAGCACACATTGGGGAGGGCATCCCCAAATCACTCACATCCTGCTGTTTCACATGCACATATGTCTTCTCAAAGATAAACCATCTCTCTGATCTGCTCTGGTTGCTCCATGTACTGTCTTGTGACCCATTTTTCTTTCTGGACTGATCCTCCACGTGCCAGAACAATGCCCTGGCCCCTTCCTTGCAGACCATCTCTCAGAACAACCTCTCCCAGCAATCTCTTCCTAGTTGAGCTCTTCATGTCCCTCTTACCTGCTAAGGCAGGCCCAGTCCCCCAAACTGCCCATGTAATATGTACCTTCGATCTTTACAACATCTTCCTAATCACCTCCCCAACCCCTCCAGCTTGTTGCCACTGCACATCAGGGACATGGGAGGGAAGGCCTTGTGGTGGGGTGCTGGGCTGAACTTGGGCATTTGGATTGTCCACAAACTTCATGTAACTTTGGGCAGAGCACTTCATCCCTTGCTTCGTCATCTGCAGCGGGGCCACCAAAGAACAGTGCCGGATACATCTTGCAAATAATAAACTCCTCAGGTGGAAACCAGAACTCTCCTGTTTCTCTAAGGCTGAAGCATACTTAAAATGCCACATCAGTACTGGGTAACATCAGCATCCATGGACCAGCTGCTGCAAGTACAGGTGCCTGCATTGGAGAAGCGTGTGACTGCTCCCTTTCTTTCCCCACAGACCCATGAAACCATATAGGGTTAATTTTTAGCTGCTTTATTAGAGGCACTGGGTATAACTGCAGAATAAAGTAAAATGAACTGCTGAGGAAAGTAGTGGCGGGTGCTGTGATTGGAGCCATTTATTCATGTCAGGCCTGCAGAAAAAGTGTGCTGATTCCATTATCATCAATCCAATACATATAAAGACACTGAAA